TATATATATATATATATTTCCACATACAGATTTTCATGTCAAAAATTAATGCATTTTGCAGATTGGATAAATTGAAACAAGGGAAACTTTCATTGCTAATCTTGGAAGCATAGAAAACTGATTAAGTTGGCAAACGCAAAGCAAGTCTCTGATATATCTGATTTTCATAAATTGTTTAATAATAACATTTAAGTTTTATTTATTCAAGTGGAGAGGCATAATGAGTAGATATTATCCCATCGCAAGCATGCATTTTTCATAAAGATCATGACTAATAAATCCCCAATACGTGTCTTTGTTCTTAGCTACTATTATATAAAAATGCTGCAATTTCCATTTTCTATAGTAACATTCACTTCAGAAAATACTTTACTTTAAAGGTAATGAGTTTATGACTTCAGTTCATTTCTAATATATCTATGTTTTAAAAGGAATAAAAATTAAAATAAATATTTTTAAAAAACCCATTTTTGTAGTGGATAATAATAATTAAAAAATAAAAATTTGAAAAACGTGGGGAGCATGAAATGCATAACAGTAATGTTATATTAGTGTGCGTATGTGTGCTCATGTGAATATATATATGTATATCCGTAATTGTATCTGAATATTGATGTGTATGTGGAATATCTTTGTGTATATGCATGTGTATGGGTAAGAAAATGTGTATATGTATGTGTATATGTACTGTTATGTAATTCGTACACCCCACGTTTTTCGTCTTTCAAATTTTTTGTTTTTAATTATTATTCTCCACTAGAAAAAAGTGGTTTTTAAAAATATTATTTTTTATTTTGATCTTTTTTTTTTTGGTACTCATTTCCAAAATCTCAATTTTTTCTCTCACTGTACACAAAACTTTTCAACTGACTTGTGACACTAATTTGAAATATTCGAATCGACAACAAAATACATTCGCGAAAATACTAAATTTTCTTTATTTTAATTTTATTTTACTTTGTATGTCTTCTTTCTCTCCATTTTCATGCATTGTCATCCAATTCTGAACTATGGGCCAAGTTTGAAGTCTGTAGCTAGTCGGGAAGTTAGTTTTAAATCGATTACAAAATTCCACCCGAGCAGACATACACGAAGGCAAGTTAATATAAACGTGGTAAAAATATTGCATGATCTAATAAATTGATGGTTGGAATTAGTAACCATTGATTTTATTGAACAATGAATAATGTATTTATTTAAAACAAAATATTTTATATCTTGATGCTAGTTAAACTACTGATCTCTGATAAATAACCCGATGGAAATTTGATCAATTTAATATTAATCCTTTGGGAATTCCCAGGCACAAATTGGATTCAGTTTGAATGCCCGAAACAGTCTGATTTATACCTCAATGAGTAGTTTTTAAAATTTATTTTCTGAATACGACTAACAGAACGAATAGCTTTGAAATGTGCGGGAGATGTTTCAATTTTCAATTGTTGTAAAACTACATGAAGTATTATTGTTAGAGGCATGAAAGTTTTAAAGATTTCTCTGACCTATAATAAAATCGTATCAGAATTTCTTAGTTGCAAAGCACCTTTTATGTATTATATACCTATATATATATATATATATATATATATATATATATGTATGTATATATATATATATATGAAGTTTTATAATGATTACGATTACATATGTCTGCATGTTGGTAATATTTATAAATCATTTAACAATCGAAAATCAAAATAAATAATATAAAACAAATAAGCTTAAATTCACAATATAAATAAAAGTCTATAAAAAAATTCAGATTTTTTTTTCATTTATTTAAATATGAAACGGTTTATATGAAATACGAGTAAATGAAAATAACTATTTCAAAAATAAATGATTTTGGTACCGGGAAAAAAAAAATACTAAAGTAAGAAATAACATTTTTTCGGATAATAGAATTTGTCAATTTTCTACTCAATATCGAATATATTATATTTTTATGAAAAAAATTTCTTTTTGAAGAATTGACTGTTTTCAAACATGACAAAATATTATTTTTGTGAAGTTATAGGTTATTGTATAATGTAGTATATTTTTAATAGGCAGAAATTGTCCTAAAAGAAAATATGTACACTGCTATCTTCTTGCTTCTTGCTTTCGTTCACTACAGTAGTGCAGTTGTCTGCGATGAGAGCTATTGTGGCGTAGAATACTTTTACATCAATTGCAAGCAAGGCTACAGACCAGTATATGTAGTATGTAATTGCTGTGCTACTTGCGAAAAAGTCCTAAGTAAGCTTTATAGTATTTAAATTCTACAACAATTACTAAATTTCATTTGTTCATAGTTGCTGTATTTTTCACTTTCTGGTCATAATTTCTTATAATTGTTGGAATGTAAAAACCGATTTTAAATTTGTAAACAGTGCAATTAAAATGCATAAATATTTAAAATTTATTCTGAATATTTAGGCGTTTTAATTTATTTGTATTAAATTGGGGTCAATATCTTTATACGATACCTTTAAAAACTAAGTCAAAAATTTTAACGCACACATTTCAGCATTACTCTAAAAATAAAATTCAAAAAGAACATTTCTAGAAAAATCATTAAAAATTTAGTTATAAATAAATAGTTTTCGTGATTTTGAGGGAGAACATAATAGATGGGCGAGTTGATAAGTTTTAAGCAGGGATTCTCAATACCTGTGAACAAGAGAATTTCTTGCGTTAAGCAGGAAATGAATAAAAATAGGTTAGAAATTTAGAATGCAGTTATTTTTATTACAAATTCAAGTAGAACAAATTCTTCTTTTTAATTAAAATGATTTAAATTGGCGATGACATAATTTCTGATAATATTACACACACACACACACACACACACACACACACATACGCACGCACGCACNTATGTAAATGTTGACTACTTTTTTCATAAATATCGTTGGATCTGGATATATATATATATATATATATATATAGGTCAGAAAAAGTCTGAGGTATCTGGTACCAAGCACTCACCAACTGGTCCTGCCATTCCCTCATATTGCGAGGGGGTAGCGTGGCAGCACGAATTTGGTTTTCCAAGTAGAGCCACAAATGTTCTATTGAATTAAGGTCAGGTGAATTTGGGGGCCAAGACATGACTTGAAAGTCACTGGAATGTTCCTCGACGATTCGACCCTTATGACATGGTGCATTATCCTGTACGTAAACACCATCCCCAGCAGGAAAAACTGTTGCCATGAATGGGTGAATCTTGTCTGCAACTATGTTCAAGTAGCTTACAGACGTCAGGGATTGTTCTATGAGGATTATGGGTCTTAATGTGCCCCATGAAAACATTGTTCCTGGGCGAGAAACGATGAAAACCTGGGAGAGCCCATTGTTATAGATTGAGGGTGATCATAATGCAATGGTCATAATGTATATATATATATATGATCTTTAAAATCTTACATCTCATACAACTGGATTCATATTTTTTTTATCAAAAAGATCCTACTCAATATTAAATTGGGTCATACATTTTGAAATGATCACTGTAAACTTCCTCAAAGAATTAATTACTGAGAAAAATCATTGTAACACCTTACTCTTTATGCTATAAACTTTTGGAAAAAGAGAAGTTGCATTTGGGAAAAGCCTTTGTTTGAAATACGTATTATTTAAATGAAATTCAAGCAATTTAAGTTTAATTAAACATACAACATGAAGAATTTTATGCACCATTTTTATTTCATTTCAGATAGAGGAGATAAATGTGAAATAAAAGCTGAGCCTGCTGTTGAAGTTGATTTTGGTGCGTATATAGTTAATGGGGGACAAGTACCAAAAGTAAATTACAGCTATCCTCGCTGTGGACCAGGACTTAGATGCAATCCCGATAGCCACAGATGTGAACCTAAAGCCACATCGGGATAAATATTTTATACCTTTTTACTTTGCTTCTTTTATTAAAAAATGCGAAGGAAAATGTGTTGAAATTGAAGGATTAAAATAATATATTTTATGTTGTTTCATTTTCCACCTTCTTTGTTAAAAAAATTATCAACATTTTAAAAATAAATTATGTTCTCATATGTTATCACGAAATTATAAAAAATTAATGTTGAAACTAAAATAAGTTACAATAATAATTCCAATTTTTTATACAGAAAGCTAAATTTTTGTTTTTATATGCATTTTAGCATAGGGGCTTTTGAGAATGCTCACATCAAAAAGAAATAGTGTGGCAGCATGAGATTTTAGTTTGAATGATGCTTTTTCCCACTGTATAGTTTTAAGCAAAAATTTATTGAATAGGGTGTTCTACATTACTGCCCTAAATATGTATTTTTAATAATGCTTGTCAAAATTAATGTAAAAAATGTAGACACATTGAGTGATGACAATTGGATATTAATCAAGAATCAAATGAAAAATACTTTCTAAATATATTAAATCACTGAGCACCATCAAAGACATCAGGTAGACAGGATCAATAAATGCAATGCCTGTTGAAGAAACTATTGAAGTTGTTGAAGTGCCTGTTGAAGGTATTTCATTAAAAATCATCTTTATTAAATATTATCTGGATCAATTACTATTACACCAGTAGAGCTCTTCACCAAAATATGTTGATTTTTGTGCTCCTCCTAAACGAATTTGTATCATTTTTTCATTAGCTTTGATTTTTAGTTTTTAATTGCTACCAAAATAAACTAAGCATTGATGGCATCAATAACAACATAGTGATGTTTTACATTTCTTTTTAACACATCTCTATCATTGCCTCATTAATTAAGCATTGCCTTATGAAAAAATAAAACTTATATAAAAATTCTGCAATTTCCATATTTTCGACAGGAAAACTTACTTCAGATAATTCTTTACTTTAAAAGTAATAAGTTAATTATTTTATGTTTTAAAATTTATATGTTTATGAACTTATACGTTTATATACCGTGCAGTATAGCAACAACTTTTCTAATAAAAAAAACATAAATTAAAACATTTTCTGCATAATAGAGGCAAAATTTCATGCAAATGACCATTTTTGGAAAATTTGCTTTTCATATGGTAACGGCTTACCATAAATTCAAGTTTTCAAAATTGCAGTTTTTATTTCCATACATCTAATTAAAAAAATGTAACCAACTAAATGATTTTAATGCCAGGCTTTACGAATTCAAGATAAAACTTGCAAATTTTGCCACATATTGTTAAACCATATTTTATTGTAAATTTAACAAAATTTATTTTCAAAGCACTTCAGTAAAATTTATTGAACTTTTTGGTGTTCCCATAGAGCCAGAAAAATGGTTAATTTTACCATATTCTGGTAATCATGACCATGCTTTCTTTTTTCTCAGTTTGCGATATTATCTGGACCAATTACTATTACACCAGTGGAGCTCATTACCAAAATATGGTGATTTTTTGTGCTCCTCCTAAACGAATTTGTATCATTTTTCCATTAGTTTTGATTTTCAGTTTTTATTTCAATTAGCAATTGCTACCAAAATAAACAAAACATTGTTGGCATAGCATAGTGATGTTTTACATTTCTTTTTAACACATCTATATCATTTCCTCATTAATTTTGCTTTTCAGCAAATAACTTTTGTATTCCAATTTTACTTTTTTTTTGCATTTTTATTTCAATGGTAAATATTAAAAAACTTAACTATACATCATTGAGGTCAATATCATGGAAATCTTTAACCTTTGTCTTCAAACGCGTTTTTATAAAAGCAAAATTGATAAAGAGATAATATTACTCGTTTAAGTGTATAACTACAAACAAAATAAATAAGTTTCGATTCAAATAAGTTTAGAGCTACTAATTCTGTGACGTAGTATTCTGATATTTCCACTTAAGTTTATCTAACATAAATATATAATATGTAATTAAATATTAAAAGACGTGCAATAAATTCCTTTTTCATTAAGGAGTGCTAAAATCCACCTGACATCAATTATGTTATCTTCTAATATATTTGATGAAATGGAATCATCTACAGTTTAATTTGGTTTAATTTTAAACAATGCTGATTGACATGGAAACAATGATGACCAAAACAAAAATTTTATTTTTTAAACGTCTCTCCCGAATGATCGAATTTAAATTGGTGAGCAATTTTTAGGATTGGAGGCTAAAATTGCCCCTTTCACCGACTTTACAGTCGGTGTAAAGGGCAATATAAGATGCAAAATTTTTGCGACCGTTCTGTAATAAATTACAGAATGGTCGTAAGAACCGTTCTGGAGTTATAAGAGAGGCACACCGATAAACGCACGCACAAACTTTTAATTTTATTATCATAGATTTTAGAGTTACGTTATAAAAAGCGACAAAATATTTGCTTCATTCGAAATGGGTGTAAGGCTGCATAACCTTCTATAAAATTGTGATAAACCGTAGACAAAATAAATGATATTTTTAATGATTTATTAAAAACATATTGAAAATTAGATATCAGTCGTGATATCTCTACGGTTTTCGATGCACAGAAGTGGTTTCGGTGGAAATTTTATAAACAGAGCATTCGAAATCTTCGACATAAAAATATAAAGAAAGGGGCTCAAAATCGTTAACCCCCACTTAATCTTCTCAGAGAAAAATAAATTCTGTAACTACTGCATTGTAATATTAATAACATTTCTGAAAAAAAAAAACATTTTTTTGGTTAATGAATCCAAAATATTAAGTAGTTGAACAATATATTGGGTACTTTTTCTGTTGAAATGATAATGGTTTAAATTAGAGTTCTTATTACCACACATTCAGTAAAAAATACAAAGTAGGAAAAGAAAATTAGACCAAGTAATGACCATGCTATGTTTACTCATGCCATGTTTTGTCATGCCATGTTTAAACACTAGAAGTGTCGTCGGGGGTAATTTTGATTGTTTTTTGCCATTTCTTATGTTATTTTTGCAGTTACACGTTTAATTTCGAAGGTCATATTTTCATGGCTTTTCCTAAATGGTTTTTAAGTAAAAAAAAATAAAAATTTCCTGCATTTCTGTTGACTACAGAAGTAAATAATTATTGATATGCAGTCAAAGGGCATAAATAAAACAGCCAAAAGTGGTCCTTCCGATCCCTATAAGAAAAACGTTCATTTTTTAGGTTTCGCGTCTGTTTTTGATTTTGCTGAATTATATGTATATATATTGTAAATATCTGTTTTCTTCTATTGTAAATATATATGTATATATATATATATATATTGTAAATTAATATCCATCGTGTTAAGAGATCTCACGGCAACAGTTTTCATGAAATTATTAATATCTTAGATTCGATTACCGAAGTAGCTTAGTTTGATAAACTAGTTCGTTACTGTTGAATTATAATTTAGTTATTTGCGTCTAAAGGAAAGCATGTACATACTGATTTTAATCTGTTATATTTGTTATAATCTTGGAAAAGATAGATGTTGAGGATTGTTGAGGAACAGTTATTGCCTTGTAAATAACAATGAAAGCTTATTGTATAACGCTCAAGCCACATAACTTTGATTTCAACTGATGTAAAATGTGAAAAATATTTTTTTATTGGCTATTTGCATTCGAGTAAGTTGAAAAATGGCAAATGAATTGCAACCAGGGAAAAGTATAGTGTTCTAATCATGAACTCCAGGTGCAGCGGAATTATTGCACAGAAACGGTGCAGCGGAAACAGAAGAAAAATTAATCCCTAAAAACTCTTACGTATTGTATTTTCAGCAATATTCATCATTTAAAAACATCAATTACTCATGAGGGTCAAATTGATCGCGAATGACGATTAGGTAAGTCCCAAATCAGCTTGTTCTTGTGCTAAGGTATCATGAATAAATTACCAAATTTTATCACTGATTATAAAACCATATATTATTGATACTTTTGACAAAATCATCACCAAAACACTTCAATAAGAATTATCGAGCTTTTTGGTGTTCTCATAGATAAACACGGTAAAATGAACCATATTAGGGCAGTTTTGACCACATTTTCTTAGAGCTCGTGGCTACTTCTAATCCCTCAAACGTGAAATTTCTCGTTCAAGGAAAGACTACAGCTTGCAAACCATTCTAACCATTCTTATTACCTTTAAATTTTTCCCTGTTGCTGATGTAGGCAAGGGGTGTGCGATTGTTCTTGTCGTCGAGTGGCGCCATCTATTCGAAGGAATGACTTCTGCCGCACCCATGCGTCACACCTGTTTATAGGGAGGAACTCATTCATACATCCCCAGATCGCATATTTGACCTGAACCAGAAAACGATCAATCACCCATTCAGTACCCCCAGAGGTATAATTTTGTTATGGGAACGTGGAAAACTTTCTGACTCGACAGATTTAACACTCAAAACTCACCATTTACTAGTATTTGGCGGGCTGGATACGAACTCCCTTTCTCACGAAAATTTTGATTTAAATAGTATATTTCATTTTTAAGAAAAATCCGTAGATTGAAAAGAGAAAAAATAATAATAAATAAGCGATTTCAGTAAAAAAAAAACTTGCAACTGTTCATACCTAAATAACAAAATTTGATTCTACTATGAAGACACATAGTGTTTTGCTTATTTAGCTTATTATCGTAACATGTAACGAGCTCGTACCAATTTTTCAAGACTTGTTCTTTATACATATTTTTTGTTTAAATTACAACCTAGCATTTTATATATTTCATAAGTAAGCATGCTTAACGGTTTTCAATGTTTTAGTTAAGACTTAATTCTGAATGGTAAGGAAAATTTTAAAAGAATTTTCAGTGTCATCAAAGTCACTACGAATTGTGACTTTAGTACAAAGTCACCACCTTGATTGAAGGGACCTAGGGCCATATAATTTGTCTCCTAAAATCCTTAATATAGTTACAAATAAGTCTCATTAAACACAGAGAGAATATTTATAATTCCTATGCTCCTTTGAAGTGTTTGGTAGCATAAGAAGGAAACTAAAAAATAATTTTTAAGCTATATTTTACAGCTATTTAAC